TCTCTCTCTCTCTTCTTTCTTTTAAGCCTGTTCCTATTTGAGATGAATAAATAACTGAATAGCACTGCTGTTTTGATTAAGGTAGCCATTAAATGATTAAAAATTACTTATGTATTTTGAAGGAAGGACTTACTAAATTTTCCCATTGGCATTCAAGTTTGACTTTAGATAATAATTAACTTGATGTTGTGTGAGGGAAACACCCTTAACAGTTGTGTTGATAATTCAAAATTTTGCATCAGATTCAAAATTTCATTAATACTCCCATTAATCTATCCCCATAGAGAACAGGATGAATACAATGGCGACGGTGATGGTGAAGACCGAGTAAGGGAGGCACAGCAAATAGAGAAGAAGGAGAGAATCACCCTCATAAAGCAGCAGTTTGCCCTCCGTCGCAAGGGGGCCCAGCGTGGTGGCTCCTCGGGATCTTCCTCTTCCTATACAAGTCGACTGAAGGAGCAGAAAGAGAAAGAGAAGTTGGAGAAAGAGGAGAAGGAGAGAGCCAACAGATCCAAGCTGACTAATGCTGAATACACGTCAAAGATTTCAGGGCTGAATGTGGGAGTGAGTTCTAGAGTGCTGGATATTTTTGTTATATATTGTAATGGTCTTATCCACCTCTTCCTCCTCTGCCTCCTCCCCTTCTCTTTTCTTTCCTTTTCTCTCTTTTTTTTCCCTCTGTTTATCCCCCATCTTCTCTGTCTCTCTCTCAACATTTTTCCTCCTCCACTTCATCACCTCTCCCATAACACATTGAGTCAGTAACATTAAAGTCAAGCACATTCACAGTCAAGTTCTCTCTTCCAGACCCGTGAGAGCTACCTCCAGCTGGTGGTACAGGCCCTGGTCAAGAACTATGAAGCTTGCAAGCACCTGTCGCCAGTGGAGAAGAACCTCAAAGAATCGGACATAGAGGATGTTGCTGTTAAGCTGGAGTACAGCATCTTCACCTCCACAAACGTCATCATGATATACCGGAAGGGAATGATGTCCTTGGTGAGTGTTATGATGTTGCCGTTATGATTCAAGAAGGTTGTTTGATGTTGTTTTTATAAGGGAATTTTCAGGTTCTTAGTATTGTTCTGTTTGGAGTCCTCAAGTGTGAAATATGGTAGTGATGATAAAAACTAGGAGTCAAATATATTAGATTTGTAGTTTGTGTTGACAGGCATTTCGGTAGTATGGAATAGGATAATTCCCCTGATGTAATATATATAATCATAAAAATTATGGTTTCTCGTGCTTGTAATACGTTTCCCTTGATTTTTGACGTCCATGGATATACTTCATGTTAGCTGTGTTTAAATAATTTTTTTTTCACAAAAGCAAACTAGTGATCATAAAACCCTTTTTTACTGTTGCTTGTTTGGTTCTATGAAATAAGCCCAGAATGATCTTTACAGAATCAGAAGAAATGTTACATGTTGAAGAGATGTCACTTTCATGTTTTTTTTTTTTCATATGTATATAGAATGAGGCTTTTTATTTTTACCTTTTTCTGATCTCTTTCCAGATGATGGGTATCAGAAAAGACACGACAGCACTTAACTTGCGAAATGAGTTGGCAGACCATGAGCCTAAGCTGAGTCTTAACCAGTGGGCCAAGCAAGTGGAAAAAGAGTTGAAGAACAAGAATAAAGTTGGCTCTGGTTTCAAGAGTGCCTCCCAGCTCATGGATGAGAAGGCAGAGGAGAGCAGCAAGACGGCCAACAAGGAACCTCCAAATCTTAGCACAAGAAGGGGATTTTCCTTGAAGAGGTCACCTAATCACCAGACATCTATAAATTCATTCTTTGGGAAGGCACCTCAGGGGGATTCAAAGAAAAAGGACCACCAGCTGTCAGAAAGTGAGTCAGAGGGAGACGACAATAATGGGGAGGGAAATTCTGTACAGGACAAGGAAGAGATACAGGAGGACATGGAAGGAAAGCAAGGGGAGGATGCCCAAAGAAGTCCCCAGAGCTACAAGGAGAGATATTTAGACAGCGACTGTGACAGCAGATATGATCCTGACGAGAATCAGGAGTTTGGGGTGGATGAAGTGTCCCTTTCAGACCTTGAGTGTGATGATGAGGATGATGACAGGGATGTTAGAATAATTCCTGATGATGGTGTTAAAGAAAGTGAGAAAAAGGAAAATAAAGATGATATGAGTTATGATTTTCCTGAATCTGAAGGTTTTACATGTGATAAGGGAGATGAAGTCAGTATTAGTAGGGAGGAAGTGATTTGTGATGAAGAATCTAATCAAGACACTGACATGAAGGATGTGGACATTTCTGATGAGACAAAATGTGCAGATGATATGCTTAAAACAGACGAAGATAAGGATATGTTACAAAACTCATTTTCAGGAGAAAAGGAAAATGTGAATTCAACAGAACATGGCACAACCTTTAGGAATTCCCCCTTGAAGGATGAAGATTCATACATGGAATACTCTCACAACAAAAATTCTGACTTGCATAACAAACGCAGTCCTTCACCAAATAACCAAGACACCTCCAGAGGCCAGAAGCGAACAATGGAAGAGGACAAGGCAAGTGGGAAGACTTCAACAAGGAAAAGGACCAAGCTCACAGAAATTGACCTGTTTGGAAACACAGACTCCCAGCAGTCAGACTCAGAGCCAGAAAGTGAAAGTCGTAGTAGCACAAAAGAGAATCGCCATCAGTCTGAAAAAGATTCCAAGCACAAAGGAGACAACTCTAAGTCACGCAGCAGCAAACATTCACACAAAGATGACACCAGTGCCTCCAAAGGACGGAGCAGAAGAGAGACATCAAAGGGGGAAAAGAAGCTAAAGGAGATTGATCTCTTTGGGGAAGCTGACAGAGATTGCGAATCAGAAGGACAGCAGAATGAAAGAGGAGTAAGTGATAGAAAGAGAAATGATAGAAGAATTGAGGTTAAGAGCATGAGGAATGAGGAAACACACAAAAAGAGCAGTAGAAGTAGGGAAAGTGAGCACAGACACAGTAAGGATGAAAGAAGGAGTGATAAAAGTCGACATGATGATGACAGAAGGAAGTCAGAGAGAGACATAAAGGAAAGAGAGAAGCAGAATGAGAAAAAAAACAATTTTACATTCAAAAGTTTTAAAACGGACAACAGGAATGATTCAGAAAGCAGACCAAAACTTCCAGATGAGACAACCTACAGGAAAATTAATAACTTTGAAGTTGGAGTAAACAGAGAGAAGGAGAAACAGGAATATAACAGAAAAGAGCATAAGCCCAGAGAGGAAGATGAAAGTAGTCAGAGGAAATCAAGTGACAGTAAGGAAAGGAAACAAAATGAAAACATAGAAAGAATTACCAGTCCCAGAAATGACAGGAAAACAAGTGAAAGAAAAGAGAGACGGACTAGTGAAAACAAGGAGGTAAAAGCAAGTGAAGAGAATGTGAGGAGAGGAAGTGAAGCTAAGGAAAAGAGGGCAAGTGAAGGGAAGGAGAGGAGGCCAAGTGAAGGGAAGGAGAGGAGGCCAAGTGAAGGGAAAGAAAGGAGGGCAAGTGAAGGGAAGGAAAGGAGGGCAAGTGAAGGGAAGGAGAGGAGGGCAACTGATGGGAGGGAGAAAAGAACAGTTGAAAGTAAAGAGAGAACACCAAGTGAGACCAGAGAAAGGAAGGCCAGTAATAGTTCTTGTCAGATTTTGGAACCGACAGAAACAGCTACGAAGCTGGGAATGAGTGTAGATATGCATAAGATAGATCTGTGCCTTGTAGAAAAATCAAAACCTAAGCCCATGCCAGCACCTGTGTCAAAGAACCCGCCAGTGAACAAAAAGTTGATAGCAGATTGGGTTGTAAAACACCTGATGCCACACTACAAGAATGAAAGCATCAGGGGAAAGGAGGTCTTTAAGGCACTAGCCAGACAGCTGTCACATCACATCTCAAACCAGGGTGTCATTCGAGGTAAGCTGTGGATCCTTAAGCGAACAAGCTAGAGTAAGTTGGCTGTTTTGTGGATAATAATGAAACAATCTTTTTCTTCTTTTTCTTTTTCTTTTTTAAGATTTGCCACAGCTTTGCTTCATTAAGATTATTTTTGTTTTTCAGAGGATGATGAGGTGAAACAGTACGTTAATGGCTTCTTCAAAAGAGTGAAAAACGTTTCCAGTGAAGCTGATATTGTCCTTGAATAATAATATCTCCCTTGAATATAGACCTTCTCCTGCCAAGTGCTGCTAGCTATCAAAACCCTGTTGTAGTTTCTGCAAACGAAGGGAGGGGTTACTTTTAAGCAGTAACCGTTACAGAAAATTGGAGTGACTTTAAGCATTATATTGTTTTCCAGCTTGACATACCTAGAGATTTATTTATTTATTTATTTAT